CGCTATGGGTCGGAACCGACTCGACGGCACTTAACAACAACAACAACATACATAGAAAACCCCAAAGACTCAGTAAGCTACTAGACATCATTGGAAGATTCAGCAAAGTGGCAGGGTATAAGATCAACATACAAAAATCAATTGGATTCCCCTATAGTAACAATGATAGCGCTGACAGAGACATTAGGAAAGAAGTACCATTTACAATAGGCATCCAAAGGATGAAATATTTAGGAATTAACGTAACCAGAGAAACAAAGGACCTATACAAAGAGAATTACAAAACACCAAAAAAAACTTCCAAAAATGGAAGAACATACCATGTTCCTGGATAGGAAGACTCAACATCGTGAAAATGTCAATACTATCCAAAGCAATGACTTAGAAAAAAATCAAAATGCTATAGATTAGTCCTCCTGTGATTCTGGTCAGGTCACAAGCACCACATTTGGGAACAGTAGGCATAAAAATGGAAGGATGTTAGCATATAGGTTGGAAAAAAGTTAGCATCACCAGAATCAGAGCTGTGAATACATGTGTGTGTTTGTGTTTTAAGAATTTTTAAAAGGAAAACAAGATGTTTTATCATTGTGAGCTATTTCACTTTCTATGGAAAGACACTTCAAAAGGAGTCAAAGGAAGTCTTGGATAGATGAACTTTGAGTGGGTGTGTAAGCCTTATTAAATAAAGAACCTAGGATACTGACTCTGTTTCAACTCCTGTGTCACATTTATTAAAATGAAATTTCTAGGTTCAGACAAAAATAATCATGATAGCTATATAGCCTATTAAAGATTCTGCACATGGTGGTGGTGGTGGTGGTTGTGGTTGTGTGCTGTGGAGTTAGTTCTGACTCACAGTGAGCCTGTACAGAGTTTCTGAGGCTATAAATCTTTACACAGGAGCAGAAAGCCTCATTTTTCTCTAGTGGAACAGCTGGTAGTTTTGAACTGCTGACCTTGAGGTTAGTAGCCTGACTTGTAACCACTATGCTACCAGAGCTCCTATTCTGCACATAAAAAGTTATGCCTCTTTATACTGCATATAAAGAGGCAGAAACAAAATATCCAGAGATTATATCTAATAAAAAATAAAACTTACTTGTAAACAAAGCCATGCAATTGAACCCCTGTATTATACATTTGCAATGTTCAGATAAACATGTAACACAGTTTACAAGACCAGTGTTCTCTACACTGTATGCCTCTTAGCATGTTACTCAAATCAGAACATTAAACAGCATAGATCACCTTAACATTGACCCTAGTTCACAGGCGACTGGCATGTTCAAATCTTCAATTAGCCCAGACTCAATTTCACCTAGTATTTTATACTTCATCAGTGATTTACTAAAATTTCTAATCAGCATAAAAACCAAAAGATTAGAGTTTCTTCTCATCTCTGTATTATCAAATAGGCATACTAAAAGAGAAGAGGAGTAGAGAAGCAGAATTCTAAAAATACACAGGCTATATATATATATATATATATCATCATATATATATATATATATATATATATAACAGAAACCATAAATAAAGAAAAAAACACATACACACGTATCTCAAGTATGACAATAGAGGTAGATCTCCCCTTCAAAAGAGACTCCTGCAGAGTGAAGCGTCCAGCTGATAAGAAGAGAGCAGATAGACGCAAGAACACCCACACTTGTAGATAATACCCACTTGATCTGGCTCAACCAATGACTGGATGATCAGAGCTCAACCCGAAGAAGAAAGAAGAGGGAAAAAAAGCGTCAGCTGATACAATTTGATGAACTTGACCTACACCTATAGATGCAGTAGCTCAAAAGAGGAAACAA